AATATATTGTTTTGGCAATCTTTGGTGGTGTTTTCTACGAGTGGAATTTGTATATTTGGGATTCTCAGAGACCTGGCTGAGGCTTGAAGGGTGGCAACTCAAGAAAGGGACTTCTCGGTTGTGGCCCCAAAGCTTTGGAACTCCCTCCCCAGGGAGATTTCGCCTGTCTCCCTCTACGGGTGTCTTCCGCCGGCAGGGGGACTTCCTTGTTTGATTTGGTATAGATCGAATAGCCATTAGCCTACCTGATTCTGCTATTGCTTGTTTGCGTGGTTTTATTACATTATTTTTATAATTTTAAATGTTGTTTTTAATTGTTCAAATGGTTTAATGTTTTTATGTGAGCTGGCTTTGGGGGACCCCTGATTGGGTGGGAAAGGTGGCATAAAAATGCCATACGTAAAATAAAAACAATTAAATAATACATATCATACATACTTAATGACCGGAGAGGTATATAGAAGGAATACTTACCCGTAACCCATCTTTTCCAGGAATTCCCTAAAACAAAAACAAATTTTTATGATGCTATGTAGCACATGGGATGAGAGTAGTAAAACAAAGCCACAACAGCCACTGTCTTATGTTGGGACACAATATTTTAACACTGGACAGGGATCACTGTAATATTAGACTCTGATCTATGTTTTTTAAACTGGTACTCCTGAAAAGACTACCAAGTCTGAGTATCCAGATTCAGGAGCTCTCCCTGCAAATGTGGTTGATGGAAGAAACGCTTCAGCTGTAGTCAGACTGAAGGATATCTCCCTGGGGCCACTTGAGGAAGATCCTGTGGAGGTTCCCATGGTTGCATCGGCATGTGGGCAGAAGGGGGAGCTGCTTCGGGGTCCCAGGAACTCAGAAGTGGGAATACTAACAAGAGATGCTTTTAAGTGTCTGACCCACAGCCTGAGCTACACCCACAATTATTATTTCCCACCACAGGAGGTAGTGCAGATCGGCCACTTGCTCTTTCTCTGACCAAATTAACACAAAAACACATGGAAGTGCCTTATGATTCATTTCCTGGCTCTTGTCACAGCAGACATTCGGACTGTTATCATTTTTATTGCTGTTTTATTGAGGCTTCCAATAACATTGTAACCCACTCTGAATCCTTTTGGGAGAAAGGCAAATCAAAAGGGTAGTAAAAATACACCATAAATACATAAATAAACCTGTTGCTATGCTGTAGAACAAGGCTAAGTAACTATTTGCATTTCTACGGCTGGTGATCCCTGAATTTCCATGTACTTTTCGCTCAGAAGAGGAACCATGTCTGTATGGTTTTCCCTTCATCTTGCCAATAACAACGGAAGCTCTGTTTGGATCTTGCATCATTCAACCGAGCAGGAGAGAGAGAGAAAGAGCAGGCTCACACAGTTCTTGCCTCCTTATTGTGCCCTGAATATAATGTGTATACTGGGAGTTTACTATCTTTAATTTGAACTTGGGATCTCCATCAGTGTTCCCTCTAAGCTGAGTTGGTGTGAGCTAGCTCACAGTTTTTTAGCTTCCAGCTCACACATTTTTGTCTTAGCTCAGGAAGGAGGGCTCCAGAGCAAACTAAGTCATGCACCAGCCATGCACTCACTCACAACTTTAATGCCGGTAGCTCACGGAGTAGAATTTTGGCTCACAAGACTCAACAGCTTAGAGGGAACATTGATCTCCATGACCCTATAATCCAACTCTGGTTTGAAAGAAAAGATAGAGGGCCATGCCAGCATGATCCTGCATAGAAATAAGTACTGGTCCCATGTTTTCATCACAAAAACTGCCTTTTGTGGACATTTTGCACTTCACTATTTTGCACTTCACTATTTCACTTCATTATTTTAACCACCTGATGCATACAGTGATTTGGGACAAACTGTAACAAGATAATAACCTGGCAAATTCCCACAGACACCCCCCCCCCCCAGTAACAATATATATTAAATGTACTCTAGAATCACAGTGCAGCCTCATTTGGAATGCCATATCTAAAAAAGGATAATGCAGAGCTGGGGAAAGTACAAGGGAGGACAATCAAGACGATTAAGGGTCTGGAGGACCTTTCTTAGGAGGAAAGGCTGAAGAGTCTGGGACTTTTCAGTCTAGGAAAAAAACAAAGCTAAGGGGAAACATTAGAGAGGTGTATAAAATTACACAGGGCAGGGGTGGAGAAAGTAGACAGAGAGAGCTTTTTGTCCCTTACCATATCCGAGGCTCCTGGCCGAACTGCGCATGCACACACATGCACAGCCGGCTGCCTCAGTCTCCCATCGGTGGCTTCCTCCCCGGCATCTGATCGTGCCGGGGAGCAACGGTGCGTCGGCTCAGGGGATCTGTGTGATCCCACCGCCGCGTGTCTCTTATGGCGTGGCTCTGAATAGCCGCACTTTGGCCGTGTTTTTTTCTGCCATGTGGCAGGGGCCAGAGAGAGCTTTTTGTCCCTTTCCCATAATACTAGAACTTGGGGGCACCCAATGAAGCTGTTGGTTCATGAGGACAGACAAAAGGGAATTCTTCAGTACTCAGTGGCTGCCAGTGGACATGGTGATGGCCTTGAACACGGATGTTTTTAAAAGGGGGTTAGATGGATTCACGGAGGAGAGGTCCATCAGTGGCTAGTAGCCATGATGATTGAAGGGAGCCTCTGTTGGAGTGAGCAACTCAACGCCTGGACATTGGGGGGGGCGCTACATCACTCTAAGGGTGCATAGATGCTATCTCCTTGAATGGGATGCCTCTCTTTGTCTTTACTGGGGAGCTGCCCCCTGACCTCTCCTCTCTGTCTTACTTTGTCCTCTCCCTCACCTCGCATGGCCTTCCATGGAGACAGATGTCTCTGCATGTCTCTCCTGTGGAGACAATACCCTCATATCCCCACACACATGATGCCCGACAAGCTGGCCATTTGTGATAGGGAAACGCACTCCTTAGATTAGGCTCCTCTCTCTCTTCTTTTTGACTCCAACCTGAATGTGAACCGGATCTACTTGAATAAATGTAAGTGTATCTTTTTTGCAATAGACTTCTTGGGAGATTTATTTACTGCTTCATAGACTGGGCAAACTCTGCTATATATCCCAATAGCCTCCACCTACAGAGGCAGCAAACCTCTAAATACCAGGACTAGGAGGCACCCAACAGGGGAGAGCCTCTATGCCCTGTTATCTTGGCCCTCCAGGGCAACAGACTGGGTGCTGTGTGAAACAGGACGGTGGACTACTGGTCTGACCCAGCAGGCTCTGCTTATTTTCTTATGCCGCATTCTCCAGCAGCTCTGTACCAAGTGCTAGATGAAGGCTAGAACTGTAGCTTGGTGGTTTGGAACAGGAGAGGATGGGGAGGATGAACTGTGGGGAGGGGCTGTGGCTCAGTGGCAGAGCCTCTGCTTGGCATGCAGAAGGTCCCAGGTTCAGTCCCCGGCATCTCCAGTTAAAAGATCTGGCAGGAGGCGATGTGAAAGACCTCAGCCTGGGACCCTGGAGAGCCGCTGCCAGTCTGAGTAGGCAATACTGACTTTGATGGACCGAGGGTCTGATTCAGTAGAAGGCAGTTTCATGTGAGACGGAGGTAGGCCAGACAGCTGTCACACGACAGGAAGCAATATTTATTCATTTTTCAAATGCATTCATATTCCGGCAGTATCATTTACTCGGGAGGAAAGCGATGGCAAACCTAAGCAGCATGATAAAAAGTAGAGACATCACCCTGCCAACAAAAGTCCGCATGGTCAAAGCAATGGTATTCCCAGTAGTCATGTATGGCTGCGAGAGTTGGACTATAAGGAAGGCCAAGTGCCGAAGAAAATATTCTTTTGAACTATGATGCTGGAGGAGACTCTTGAGAGTCCCTTGGACTGCAAGAAGATCAAATCAGTCAATCCTAAAAGAAATCAACCCTGACTGTTCCCTGGAAGGCCAGAGACTGAAGCTGAAGCTCAAATACTTTGGCCACCAAATGAGAAGGGAGGACTCACTGGAGAAGACCCTGATGCTGGGAAAGATTGAAGGTCAAAGAAGACGGGGACGGCAAAGGATGAGATGGTGAGACAGTGTCATAGATGCAACGAACATGAAGTTAAGCAAACCTCAGAGGATGGCGGAAGACCGGAAGGCCTGGCGTGATCTGGTCCATGGGGTCGCGAAGAGTCGGACTCGACTGTGCGACTGAACAACAACAAATCATTTTAAATCCCCCCTCCTTGTTAAAGCCAGCTTGCTTTAACACGCAAAACCCAAGGGGTCTTTCCTCAGAGCCTGCCTAGGCATTTGCTCTTCACATAGAGCTATTTCACAGGTGGCAGTGCCTCGGCTAATAACGTGCTATGCCTACACGTCTGTTGTGCTAAGTGACTGTCTGTTGTCATGGTAGTGACATAGTCTGCTGGAGTTCTGAAATTAGCAAAGGAGCTAGCCCACGTTCCACAACAGGCTGGCAGGAAATTGGCAGGAGCGGCTACCAAGCCACCCAGCACCAGGGCACGGGGGGGTGAGGGCAACCGTCGCAGCAGCCAGGGCAGGAGAAGTGGCAAGCGCTAGAATTAATAACTGGAACCTGCCCTTCAAATATTGAGCTGCAGGTGGATACGGGTAAGCAGACTGCTCCCCCATCCAAAGACCTGGTTCACCAACAGAGACCTTAAAGTCCCCCCCCCCAAGAACAGAGTTGGCTCCATACACTCTCTGTGGAAGCGTCGGATTTTCAAGGGAAAGCACTTCATGCTTTCAAAAAAAGCTGTTATGTACGCGGACTGCCACCAGGGGTCCGCGGCTAAAGCAGGAGCTTGGTTCCCAAACACAAAGGGGGCCTAGGATCCTAGTCCACCGGGAGTCCACCAACAGCACCCTTGGCGGGAGATTCAAACCCTCCAATAGGGACAGAGGTGTGCCGGGTGGAGTGTATATAGTTGGCCTCACAGGGCCGTTTTGTATCTCTTGTTGTGAAGCACAATAAACGCGTCTGAACGCATGTCGTTGGTCCGAGTTCTCCATGCATCAAACCCAGTACTTTTCAGACACCTTTCATACCAAGCACTCCAATATCAACCCCAAAGAGTGTAATGTCAGATAGCAGGAGGCCTTATACTGGGGACCTCTCAACATGTGGCCTCAAGTCCTCACCCGCTGAACCCTCGAGTGCTTCTCTTGAGTCAACTCTCCTCTTTTACGTGAAGGGAGAATCAAGAATTTGGCCACGGCTAATAATGCGGTGGCTCAAGTGGTTAAGACGCTGAACTGCAGGCTGTGGAAGGTCGGTAGTTCAGCAGTTTGAGGCCCGAGTGTGCTGCATGACGGAGTGAGCTCCCGTCTCTAGTTCCAGCTCCTGCCAACCTAGCCGTTCGAAAGCAAGACATTGCAAGTAGATAAATAGGTACCACTTCGGTGGGAAGGTGACAGCATTCCGTGCACCTCGGTGTTTAGTCATGCTGGCCACATGACCACGGAAACGTCTTCGGACAGCGCTGGCTCTTCGGCTTTGAAACGGAGATGAGCACCGCAACCCTAGAGTCGGATTCGACTGGCTTTCGAGCAAGGGGAACCTTTACCTTTACCAATACGTGGCAGCCCTGCCCTGGAGGGCCCAGGCCAGCCGGATCTCATCAGATCTCGGAAGCTAAGCAGGGTCAGCCCTGGTCAGCATTTGGATGGGAGACCACCACGGAAGAATATCTCTCTCGCTCCGGATTGCAAGGCTAGATCTCATGGGTGGAAATTACAAGGGAATCGTTACCGGCTAAATATCAGGAGAAACTTCCTAACTGTAAGAGTGGCTGAGCAGTGGAACAGTCTGCCTCGGGAAGTGGTGGAGGCTCCTTCGCTGGACATTTTCAAGCGGAGGCTGGACGACCATCTTTCGGGTATGTCGTAGGGCTCTCTTTCGGCTCTGCTCTTGCAGCTTGCAGGGGGTTGGACTAGATGACCTGCAAGGTCCCTTCCAACTCTAACATTCTATGATTCTATGATTCTATGAAGACCAGGGCTGTGACACAGAGGCAGGCAATGGCAAACCGCCTCTGTTCATCTCTTGCCTTAAAAATGCTACAGGGTCACCATACATTGGCTGCGGCTTGACAGCCCTTTCCAACACCAAGAAGTGGAAATCCAAGTGCTCTGGTGTGCCAAGACTGAGTTACAATTTCAGGCTCACAAGCATCAGAAAGCACCGGACACCTGGAGAGATCTGGGGCAATTGCTGTAGACCCATCTGTGCTTTGAGCACTGTCCTTCAAGGCACCATTTCCCTTCTTTACCCTCAGGATCCTCAACCTCACTGGCCCCCACTGCCGTGGGATCTTGTTGGCCGAGGAAACCCACAGGACATCATGAAGCCATAGACAAGCCCAGTCCACATTACAGCGAACACACGTAGGAGCTGTGTACAGTGTACACTTGATCGCTCTTGGTATGTGCATTGAATAATTCTCACACTACAGTGGACGTATGTACAGCTGAACATGGGATACAAACCTGACATTTATCCAGGTACCGGTCCCTGGTTTCTTTTGTGAAGCGAATGCGTGTTGCCACCAGTCTTCCCTCCAAGCTGACTTAGTGTGAGCCAGCTCACAGTTTTTTAGCCTCCGGCTCACACACTTTTGCCTTAGCTCAAGAAGGATGGCTCCAGAGCAAACTGATTCATGCAGCAGCCAAACTGCTCACTCACAACTTTAATGCCAGTCGCTCACAAAGCAGAATGCTCACGAGACTCCACAGCTTAGAGGGAACATTGGTTGCCACTTTCTTTCAAACAGGTGTATGCAAGTACAGGCAGGATGTACGTGCATCCACTGTAACATGCGTAGAACTCTTCTCTCAAACTAGGGTTGCCGGCCCCCCGGTCCTAGCGGGGGTATTCCCAGTTTCGGGGGCTCCTTCCCACCGCTAGCCAGCTGGTCGGCGGGGGAAAGCCCTGCCCCCAAGAGCGAACACTCGCGCCTGCACTTCAAGTCGCAAATTCACAGCCTGGAGTGCGGGCACACCCGGCCTCCCTCTGCTTCTTTCAAAAAGCATTTAAAGGAGCCCTTCAAATGCTTTTCAGAAGAAGTGGGGGTCAGACGCCCGCACTCCATAAGCAGCTTGGAGTGCAGGTGCGCTGCCCCCCCCCCCCCACTTTTTTTTTTTTAGGCTGCACGGCCGCCTCCACTCAAAGCCACGAATTCGTGGCTTGGGGTGCAGCCGCATGCGGCTTCCCCCTCAAAGCATTTACAGGGACCCTTTAAATGCTTTTGGGAAGACGTGGGGGGCACCAGTCCCCAACTTGGTGATGTCACTTCTACTTGTCATTGCATTGGCGATGGCCACGCCCCCTCCAGTAATGCCCTCCAAAGTCCCCCCGCAGGGGTCTTGGAAGGACCCAGGAACCCTACCTCAGACAAAATCACACAGGTTGACCCAGCCAATCGGATTCAATGGTATCGAGGGTCAGTGAGGCTCAAGAGAGGGCAAAGAAGGAAAAGGGCATCAGGGGCATGAAGCAACAGCTGCCAAGGTTCACAAACATCACTATGGAACAATGCAAAGTTTCAGCATGTGAGCATCTGTCTCCCCGGTAACATGCTCAGACTGAGCATGCTCCTTTTGGAGCAGATATCAAAGCCACGGAACACCCAGCAAGTTCTAAATACTCACAGGTTTGCCATCCTGGCCGGGCTTTCCAGGGGGTCCGCGAGTCCCAGGCTGCCCTTCTTCCGGTCCTGCTGTTCCAGGGGGTCCGGGCGGTCCTTCCTCTCCCCTTTGACCTTTTTCACCTTTTTGACCCTACGGGTAGAAAACACACACGCACCACCCGGGTTGGAATCCTAAGCATGTCTGTTCAGAACAAAGCCCCACTGGAGCCAGAAGGAATCTACTTCTGAGAAAACACAGCAAGGACCGGCTGGTTAAGAGTATCTTTTTTCGTGTTATCCCCATTTGAAGGAACATTAAAAAAAATTAGCTGCTGCAGATTTTCCGGGTTGTCTGGCACTCCATCTTTCTGTGTTGTACCTCTGAGGATGCCAGTCACGGCTACTGGCAAACTGTCAGGACCTACAATGCCAGACAACCCGGAAAATCTACAGCAGCTAATGAACTCCGGCTGTGAAAGCCTTCGACAACATATTTTAAAAATTATTAATGGGAGAGGAAAAATCCATATTCTTCCCTACAGAGATGAGCAATGAACTATCAGAATCACAGACCGGAAAGATAATAAGGAACGAAGAAATGAAAGTATCCCATTGACTCAGTCTATTTGCGTTGCGGCTGGCCACACACGTTAACCTAGGGCTGCCAGGCCTTACGTGTCTGCTGGTGGGGGGCTCCTGGCTTGGTCCTGGGGTCTTCTGGCATGTGTGCTTCGTGTGCGCGCCACAATGACATCACCCGGAAGTGACGTCATTGCACTGGGCCCATTGTACGGGGAACACTAGCATTTGGCTAAAAGGTCTATGGTCACCATAGAGTTTTTAGCCAAATGCTAGAGCATCCCCCGCACAATGTGCCCAGCACAATGATGTCACCTCCAGGGCCCGGTGAGGCTCTTCAGGGGCGGGGCTTCCCAAAGCCACCCCCATTGGGGAGTTGGTAACCCTACAGTGACCCATCAGTTCCTGAGGGTAGGCTCACAGCATCTGTATTTACATGGAGTTGTACCACAAACAGGGAGGGATTGCTTGAGCCTGTAGGAACCGTGAATTGTATTCAATAGCTGCCATGGAATGCGTGATGTATGTGAAACATCTAATTGACTTGCCATGTTGAGCTTCGTCCTGGGCTAGGATCCCAATCCATCCAATCGCATTGCTAGCCCAGGAAGCACCTAGCCAATCACTTTACAGCAAGCTCCCTGAGTGGGAACGTCCGTGATTGGTCCTTATATGAACAACCGTATTGGTTGGTATTTGTACAGTGGGTGTGGCTACATTAGCCGGGAGAGTTTAAAAGCAGGACAACTGCAATGTAAAAGCTGAACCGTTCTGTTCTGGCTATCAGATGTTGATCCGTGTTGGAGTTGTGTTCGAGTGGAAGAATAAAGTTGTGTTCTTGCTGAATCACTGTCCGACTGCTTTGTTAAGCGAGCGACTTAACAAACTGTAATGCATAAGTTGTCTTTGGAACACCTTCAGCGGAATACGGCCCCAAATGGCACATAGTAAAGATCCGTGGAGCCCAGTTCCTCCATACTGCCACTTATGCAGACACCATGCGGAGAAGAGCTCATGCAAATCGACTATGCCCATGGGCAGCCGGTAGCCATTTTCATTTTTAGATGGTGCCAGCTCCAGAGCTCCTATTCATGGCAAAGGACGTGTATTTCAGGGACCACCTGTGAGGAAGTCGGTGCGAAGCTGAGAAAGCACTAAGCAGTGACCAGACTAGTTTTAGTCATAGCGTGGGCCGCAAGTGGTCTAAGGCCATGTTAACAAATAATTGTGGTGGCTGATGTGGTCCTATTACAGAGGAAGTCTAGGCAGGCAGACTAGGGATCTGAGGTAATTTTTACTTCTTCTCCCATTCCCTTTTCTGGGAGTGATTCACACCAAAACTTCCTTTTTACAACACACACACACACACAATAGGCTTATTTTCTCTTCTTTAGAAGGGCTCAATGCTTATTGGTTTGGTGGTGAAGGAATGTAGCCAGTTCTTGGTGATTTACCGCAAGGGACAGCAGAACGTGGGTTTAAAACAGTCAGAATTTCACATCCCCACCTCCTGACTGAACTGGCAGAGTGTTTCTGTCAGAGCACCCCAGCAGAATTCCCTCGTGAACGGCTCGAATGGGAAGCAAACCTGACCTGGAATCTTAAATAGGAGGCAAGGAGTACCACAGGACCTCCTCAGGCCCAGAAGCTGTTCTGGCTGGTCCTCCTGATTTAGGCACACCCAGGGGCTTTTCTGTATGGGTTTTTTTGAGTCGGTTCTGGCCCCAGACTCCTTTGGTTTATTCCTTGATTTCCACACGGATTTTCGTGTCCAGTCTTCACTTTGGGTTTTTAGTTGTGTCCCCCCCCCCTCATTCTTTAGAAACCCCATGTTTTTCTGGAAGTCAGGTTTGAGTTGGCTGGTTTCTTATTG